AATTATAGTATCTTATTTTTTTAGGTTTAATCAAAGAGCGAGAATTCATCATTACTTCAGCTAAAAGTCGATGAACTTAACATTTAGGCCCATATTTTCAGCATGTATAGACCTTATAATAATGGACTCAAAGTAAATGTTAATGTATTATGAAGATGCTACTTAAAACGTAATCAAAACCTTGTAGCAATTCCATCTGTATATTCGGGTTATTACAGATAAGCCTCAGCTTTTTAAATAAGGTAATCTCGCTCTGCGGTAGTTTCAGGTGACGAAATTGATTTCACTCAATACCCAGCGTAGGTCTACCTGGAATTTATTATGACCATTGTAGTACTAAATGTGTACAGACTTAATTGAAAGTCAATATTTTACGGGAAATTATCAGAGTATGGTCAGGTTTATTACATTTATAATACAAATTGTTTTCAAATTGAGGAATTATCCTCTCCTATGGACCTGGATTTATATTATTATTATTTTTTTTTACGGTTAACACTTTGAGCAATGGTAAACAAATTAGTTTAATCGAAGCTCGCAGCCTTGCATGATATGCAGTCGATAACCATGAGCGTTACATGGGCAAAATAACTAACTATAGATATTGAGTAAATAGCTATTAGTATGTATATAGACGTACCGTAAGCATTGAAAATATCATAGGCCTACTACATGATAACACTATGGTGATGAGGTTGTGTAGTATGCGCGTACCTCACGCAATGATGTGGCGAATCAGCAGAGCTCAGGATGTTCATGTTTCCAACATGCATTATGAAGGTGTGCAAATTAGAGTACACCGCCGTCTTTCGGAGAGACGACAGACGTAAGCATAAAAAAGGCAGTTGATCCCCTGTGCTTCGAGGCTCATGTGCACGTCAAACAACAAGGTGCACCTATCGGAAAGAAGAGGTTGTTGCAGGTGGTTGACGTATGCATCATCCTCGGTCATCCACTTTTTCCTTGGGTTGATACAAACAAATATTAAAATTTGGTAAATTATTAACGCCCTTTTATTACATTTTATAAGATGCCTAAATATCCATTATTTGTCAAACATGTTTACTGTTTACCTGTTAATTGCCGTCACTGTCAATTACGTTATTCTGTCAGAATGAAAATTTGGCGATCAATTTCGATATTAGATGTTATTGTATTAGTGTGTACAGAGGACTGTATTGCGTCACTGATAATTTGTATGCGGTAGCTGATCATGTACCTTGTATATTGTCGCTAATCGTTGATCAAACGTCGTGTGTCCGGTCTTGTTATCTCAATATGTGCACATAATTTCATGACGTCACTGAAAATTTACCAGTACAGGCA